ATCTATCTATCTATCTATCTATCTATCTATCTATCTATCTATCTATCTATCTATCTATCTATCTATGAATCAGCTTGTTTCATTGCACTGTTATGCCTTTTGGTCTTAACAGATATTGACTGATCCACCTTTCCAGAAGCATATCCGATGAAGTGCAGGGGTAGCAAATTTGTCAAGTATGATGGATGGCGTATTGCAAAAACAGGGTGGGTTGATTGAAGAGTGGTAAATATATAGATGTTTGCTTATCAAACATTTTCACCAAATCGTCCCCCTTTGATTCATCCTCACAATGCCAACCAGCACTCCACTGACATAGCCATCAAATCAGATATTTTCGAACATACTGGTCACCACACACTTAAGTCAATCACTCAAACTTTTTCCAAACATCTGTGCGCAATTTCTTTTGTCAGACTTTCAATGAATACAGGCAAATACGTAAGGATTGGGAGGACTTTTTTCACAATGTCATTTGTAGGTTGTTTGATCTCCATTTAAATTTTTAGCTCAATGTATTTATGTGAGACACCCTTTTTTCAAATGTGATTATTGAGTCAAAATACAACTCCACCATGACTTATCAGATGGAAGTGAGCTACTTGTTGGCTACCAGCAGCTACTGGATTATGCAACTCTTGTCCAATCCATTCAGTGCACATCACCAGGGTAAATTATGGCAATTATCTGGTTTAGATAGATCATTTTGACTGGTTCATTTTAAAAGTAGTTATAAAGCCAAAAGATTGTGAGCATCACTGATGTAGTTGCTGACAGTAAATCATGGAAGGAACACCTAAGAACATCTAAACAGGACTCTTACAAAGATAAAGAAAGATGATCTGACTCTAAATGTAAACAAACGTGCTTAGACCTAACGTCAGATAAAACACCTTTAGTACCCAATTAATTAAAGCTGCAGTTTGAAAATCTCAACCCATTCTGGCAATCCCCAGGCCCTAAAACCATAAGCACAATGGTCTTCTTTGGGGTTAGTGGGGTGGGAGTGAAGATTTAACCCGTACCAAACTAAAAAAAGAATTTGCATCTGAAAATGAATAATCTGAGAACTTCTGTGGGAGGCATAACTCAATGTTGTAGTGAAAGTCAGTAATGTATGAGGTGAACAGAAAAGGAAAATACTCAGTTCCCTGTGTATCTTGTGCATCACTAACCACCACTTCAAACTGAACACTGCCCAGATGGGCAAACTGTGGTCTTCCAGTCAGTCACCCAGGAGATCACTGAGCTGTTAACACCCACCATCTGCAGCTTCTGACCCAGCAATCGTTGGTGAATGGTGTTAACACTGGGCGGGGGCATTTCCGGTGATGGAGCCAAGCAGACGTAGTTGAGCTAGCTCCGAGAAAATGTGATAAGAAATGTTATTTTTTATGATACGTACAACTTCAGAGTCTTGTATTATAATACTGGGTTGATCCGGACTGCATTGTTTTTGCCAGTCACAGTTATTTCATCTGACATTTGAAACGTTTTGAATTTCTTAAGTGATGTCTACTGCCGGGCACAGTGCATGCTGAAAATTCTGCTACTGGCCAAGACAGTGCTCCTTTAAATGTGGCGACTATCACTGACCAGCTGAGTATATTGAAGACTGAGCTTTTTGGAAAGTTGAATCAGTGGTTGATTCGTTGAAAACTGAAATATCCTTAGTGCGTGAAGAATTGACCTTATCTACCAGTGCTCTGCGAGCCACACTAGATTTTCATGCTAACCAGCAAGTCGAAATTGAGAACACTGCTGTTTTTTGCTGAGATTCTGTCCAAGACATGCACAGTTCTATTGCCACCCTGACGGTTGAGGTGTCATCCTTAAAAGCTAAATGTGAGGACTTGGAAAATCAATCTAGATGGAATAACATCAGAGTTATTGGCTTGATTGAGGACGTGGAGGATCCTGGCTAAGTAAATGGCTTACAGGATACTCGTGATCTAAGCTTTGAACCAGCCATCGATAGAGCCCACAGAGCCCTGCGCCCTAAACCAAAGAGTGGTGAGGCACCACAACCAGTGATTGTACGTCTGTTATATCAGAGGGATAGGGCCGTTATCACAAGGCCAGAAAGATGGGCGATTCACTGCACTACATTTTCCCCGACCTCACAGCAGCTCAATCTAAGAAAAGCAAAGAATTTGCCAATGTCAAACACCTTCTGTGTGGAAACTCTGCCATCAACAACTATGGATATTTCTACTTGGGCCACCTGATTACTCTACTGAGCCACCTACTACTTGGGCCACCTGATTACTCTACTTACTCTACTGAAAGAGGAACAGCATAGATTTGAGAATTCAACTGCAGCTGAACGCTTTATTCAACAACACCTACTGATTCAAGAAAACCCTGCGCAGGTGAATAACAACAATGTTGCTTCTACTGATTAATTGTGAGATGTGACCATTCGTTTGTGAAGGTAGGCTAATATAGGAGATATGATAGGAGAGCCTGTTTTAAAGGAAGGGGAAATATTGACTGTTCACTGACTGGCTTACTCGAGCCGTTTAATCTTTTTGTCCCATGTCCTGGGCTAACTGCCCCAGTCTGGCGAACTCTCTTATAGGCTTTGTTTTAGTACTCAAATTGCTTGTGTTATTGACATGTTCCTTATGAAGCATTTAGATTCTTGAAGTTCTGGAAGATACCAAAATGTTCAGAATTGCAGCTTGTTTAGTCAGATACAGGAGGGGATGTACCTGGGTTATGTTTGTGCTTACATTTTCTAGATGCTCTCAGCTTTGTGTTATAACTGTGCAAGTGCCTTGTCTTTGTAGGCAACTTTTTTTTTCTTTTCCCCACTCCTACATGGTCTCTCATCTTACCCATGTACATTTCTCTACTCTATTCTACTCTTCACTATTTCGAAACTGTAAAGCCCCGCCTAAAAGTACTTGTATTCACGAGTGTGACGTCTCTGTTGTTAGCTGGAATGTTAAGGGCTTTAAGGTTTTAAACCATTTACATAGCCTGAATTCAACGGTTGCCTTTTTATAGGAAACCCACTTGGGGCTTTGGAGCACACAAAGTTAAGGCGTAAATGGGTTGGGCAATTATATCATTCCAATTTTTCTGCAAGATGGGCAACTATTATAATTCATAAATCAGTCCCATTTAGAGCACTCCATACTGTTGTGGACCCTAATGGACGCTACGTGCTACGACGCACTTTATATAACATGCCAGTAGTTTTTGCCAGTATATATGCACCCAATTGGGATAATGACATATTTTTTCAGAAGCTCTTTTTAGCCTGACCTTCAATCCCACTATCTCATATTAGAGGGTGATTTTAATAGCTGTTTATACATTTCTTTGGACAGGTCTTCTACCAGAGCAATTTGTGATGATTACATCTTTTATGGAGGAATAATGTGTTAGCGATCCCTGGCAGTTTCTTTACCATCAAACTAAAAAGTTTAATTTTTTCTCCTCAGTACACTCATTTTCTCGTATTGACTTTTTTCTTTTAGATGACAGACTCCTTTCCTATCTACGTACCGTCTCTTACAACTCTATTGTAATCTCCGACCATGCTCCAGTATCTTTAGTGCTATCTTTTCCTGAGAAGCCCAACACCCGTTTCCCATTGCGATTCAACTCACTTTTACTTTTAGATGAGGAACTTATTACATTTATATCCGTTCAGATAGATATCTTTGTATCTACAAATGTCTCTACAGGGGTCTTCGCTTCACTTATCTGGGAGTCTTTTAAGGTATTCATTAGGGAACAAATTATGGGCTACTGTGGATTCCAGGGGAAGCAGCGCACAAGCTAAACTTCTTGCTGAAATAGAGAGTACGCCTCTAACCCTACACCAGAGAAATATAAACAAATTATTACCTTTAAATCTGAGTTTGATATTTTGGCTAATTGGGCAGGCAGAGGCTAAACTATTGAAGTTTAAATATTCCTTGTATGAGTCTGGAAAAAGGGCATCCAATGAAACAGAGCTCCACATCCAATTTAATTCCAAAAATAACTACTCCATCAGGTTTAGTGACTGACCCCTTAGAAATAAATATGCATTTAAAGACTTCCATAGTGCTCTCTACACATCTGAGCATAATACTGACCCTCAGACATTGGCATCCTTCTTTCATCAAATAGGAAGAGAAATGCCTACTATTACTTCTAGTCAAAAGGAGGCCCTTGAGCAGACTCTCCAAGGAGATGAAATTATCATGCAATCTGAGCGGTCTCCTGGTCCTGACAGACTACCAATAGAAAGTTCTCCACCCAAACTCTGCCTCTTGGACTCTGGTCCATATGTTTTGGACATTTTTTTTTTCTCCTTTATTTTACCAGGAAGTCCCTTGAGATAAAATCTATTTTTCGAGGGAGACCTGGCCAAGAGGCAGCAGTACAGTAAGACATATAAGAACACAGGACAACAAGATAAAATCAATCATAAACTACACTCTAGAGTAACAGTTACAATGCTCTGTGCAAGCAATAGTAATTTTCAACAGTGATTTAAAATGCTGTAGCGGAATAAGAGTCCATAATTGCAGGGAGTTTTGAATATTGTGCCACGACCATGGTGCTGCATAGAAAAATGATGTTTTGCCAAGATCTGTGTTGATCCTTGGAATAGTGTAAAGAACACGACTTGAAGAGCGTGAGTTGTAACCACTGTTAGCTACAGACATGAGGTGACAAAGGTATGAAGGGAGTTTACCCAGGATGGCCTTGTACAGTAAATGAAAGTAAGCCAATGATGTTGTCTTCTGAGGCTTAGAGAGGGCCATGAAACCAGAGCATACAGTTTACAATGATGAGTCCTAAAGGCAGAGTTGGTGATGAAACGTAAAGCACCGTGATAAACTATGTCCAGGGAGTGGAGAGCTGAGGAGGCCGCATTCATATATATGATGTCTCCATAGTCCAGAACAGGAAGGAAAGTGGTCTGAACAAGTCTTTTCCTCACTGAGGGAATCAAAGAGGATTTTTGTCTGTAGTAAAAGCCAAGCAGGGCTGTCAGTTTTTTTAACATATTATCTAAATGTGTTGTGAAAGACAATTTGTCATCAATCCAGATACCCAGGTACTTATAACAGGACAAAATCTCAATTGCTTCACCACTTAAGGTCTTAATGCCACGATGCTGTGAGTTTTGGGAGCAATGTCATGAATTTAGTCTTGTTTACATTTAGGACCAACTTCAGCTGATGTAGGGAGACCTGAAAACCTGCAACCCCCAGAGGCTTCTTAATTTAGAAATTGCCTGTAGGCCTGTAGCCTGAAGAAGTCAACCCTTGACCTTATCCCGTACTCATTTGTTTTTGACCTGAGACCCTTTTCTTTTTTTTAATGTATTTATTTTTTATTTGATTTTTTAACTTCTTGTTTTTCTTTGTTGTTGTTTTAGCTAACGTATTGTTTTTTTCTCTGTTATGTTTTGTTTTATTGCTTCATTAACATTAGCACAGCCTTATCTCAGGGTGGGTGGGTGGATGGATGGGAGGTGAGGGTGTGGGTGTTTGTAATTGTTTTTCTTTATTGATGTTTTTGCTATTTTTGTACTAGACTGTGTAGTCTATCACTACATGTATCTGATTTATAATTTAAATATTGCATGGTCTTTGTAAGTGCAAGAATTAAAATAAACCATAGGGGGAAAAAATGCACTGGGCATATAAAGAAAAAACAAAGTGTTTGTCACAGTACTCTCTCCACCATCCTGGTGCAGATGAGTTTGAATTTTTTTTAAAGGTTTATTCATTGGGATCTTCCTATCGGCCCTTTGTTATTTTTATTGGATGCGTTTCCTGACCACCTGTTTACCACAGAACAATGCTACATACTACATATTCTGTTGATGATAGCAAGAAAAAATATTACTATTAACTGGATGAAGTCTGACCCTCCCACGATCACTCAGTGGCTACAGAAAGTAAAACACGTCTACGCAATGGAACATATGACAGCCCAACTACAGATGAAAGTACCTGTTTTTCTGAGAAGGTGGACCTCAGTTACTGAATATCTTGCTTAGGACTTTATCCATGTATTACAATTATTGCTGTTGTTATATTCAAGGCTTCTTTAAATCTAAAATATCCTTGTTCTCCTGGAGTATAGAACTTGAGAATATATGTGCTATACCCTCTACAGTGTGACAGACTAGACCCATTTCTGTTTTATTTTTTATCATTATTTACAGTTTTTTGTGTTTATCTTTTATGTTTGTTTGCCTCTTTATGTTCCCCTGTATGATGCCAAATGCTTGATGATCTGCATTTAAGGCAATAAAGTTTAAAAAAAATGTTTATGCATTTAGCAGACGTTTTTATCCAAAGCGGCTTACAAAGTAGGGGGGCACCAAGAGTTGAACCACTTGATCTGCAGTTAAATGCCACTGAGCTATTGACCTGCTTTTTGTTGCAGTAGGAAATTGACTGTGTCCTCAACTCCTAAGTGGTAATGATAAGCGAATTACAGAGGGTTCAGCACCGACTTCACCTTTGGCCTCAGACAGGCCAAGACCAGTCTCTACAGAATCTTTATCACATGAGATGAAAGGGCTACGAGTCAGCAGTCTCTGAGGTCCGGTGACGTTTTGGGTAAAAGAACCAAGCAGGACATTTTTCACACAACCAGTACTCTCTCCTGACTCAGGCCCAGGGCCTCTCAGCTTGCAGCAAAACAGGCTTATTCAGCACAATCAGCTGTTTGCATGTGTAAACAATAGAGCCCCTGTTCTCCATTACAAATAGCAATTGGAGTAACAGAAGGAACAGGAGATAAATTGAAAATCTTGGTCCTCTCATAGTTTTAGGTTATTGATCTGACACAGATGAAAAAGGGTTCTCAAAAAGAGCACAAAAACTAATAAAACACACAAGTAACTAACACAAGAACTTCCTCGTGTTCACAGGAAGTTAAAGGGAACCTTCTCTTGTGGCACAAGTTGAATGTGGATGCATTAAGAACAGCAGAATGCCAAGTACCGTGCTATTGCCTAGCTCTCCAGCCAAACCAATCTGCTATACAGCATATTTCAAGGAAGAATCTGTACTTTGATGTTTGATGCTTGAAAACAAGGGTGGGAAGAGTAGTTATGAAGGACCTGCTTCCTCTTTATTTTTGGTGTAAAAAGGTGAACATTAAGAACAGTAACACATTTTATTTTTCCTCTTTTCAATTTGATTCAAGGTATACACTTTTGCTCTTTCTGAGAGGTAAGTTTGCTTGATCAGTTCGGCCATGTCTGTCATATATCACCTGTTAGTGTGTCCCTTGTGGGTGAGATCTTAGGCTTCTGTTTTAAAAGGAAGCCCAAGAAGCTTCCATCTCAGTCAGTGAAACCATGTTCTTCCTAACTATGCATCATTTTGCCAAGTTCAATTGCTGTAATTACTATGACCTGGATGACCAACAATCTATGCTAACTATTTTCCTGGACTTTATAGTGCAGACACCATGTTGACAGTTTAACATTTTCAGGATGTAGCATGGAAATTGTTGGAAACATTAAAATATCTTTCAATATTGTTTCTTCCTGGGGGAAACTGGGCTGATTCAAATTATCAAAATCAAAACTTTAACAAAAAGGGCAAATGTGCCTTACAAAAGGGTAATCCAAAACTGAAAAAATATTTTTAAAAATTACATAGATTCTTTATCTTTGTGTAGGCTTACCTTCTCTATGGTGTAGAAGATGTGATTGTAGACCTCCTGTTGCGTGTAAACGGCAAACAAGTCATCTAATGATTCATCATAGTCTTTCAGAAAGAGGTGCTTGAAAGTCATTGTGTTTTCCTCCTTGAACGTCACCACCACCTGATTACTGAGGCCAAACATCACCAACTGTAACAGAAAAGGGTGAAGAAAAAAGGAAAAGAGTTGTGTCAGGTTATATGGGAGTGGAAAATGTTTATAAGAAATAGATTTTCTGTGTTATATATGTACAAGACAATCTTTTGGATTATATAAGAATACTACTGCCACTTCCACATTACTGCATTTATATAAGCACCATGACTTCATGCACCCCAGCCTTTTGCGTCATCAAACAGATTTATAAAATATTAAAATATTGTTTTTGTGATGTGGCTGAAACAAACTAAACTTTCACCTGAGCTGTCACAAAAATAATCTTGAGCAGCTGCAAAAATAGCTTATAAGGCTTGCGACCCTTGGCGTGATATTTGTCACAAGGGCTCATGAAGAAGTACTTCAGCTTCCTGCGTATGGCTTCCTCTTCCTGATCAGCTCTGACCCACTGACCAACTGCTGTTGTGGAAAGACTGCGGTCATAATGGTTGCAGTCATTGCTGTTATTGTGATGGTCATGCTCACTGCTGCTCCCTATGGTGCCGTAACGAATCTTGGATGAGGATATGCTGTCCTGCTCTGCTGGGTGAAAGAAGAAATTCAGTTATTTAAATTTTGCATCTGGGAAATATTCAAGGCAAAAACGTGTGTAACTTCTGGCATAACAGGTGTTAGGCAAGTACTGTACATTTTCAAGAGCAGATAGAACCACATACGAGTGAGCTCAACATAAACAATTTTTTTTCCTTTCTCAATTCAAAGTGTTCAAAATAAAGTTATAAAAATGTATTGTTCGTAAAACTTTCTTTTTTTATTTAAAAGAATATAAATAATTAAACCAACCCAGCATGATATGTCAATACTACACCTGAATAAAAAGAGGAATTGAAAAGTTTATGATCTAAGGCCTGCCATAGAGACATACTTATTTCTTACATTTGGAGAACAGTAGTTCATATTTATACTTTCTGCCTCTTTAAATTTAAAAAAAGGGAATTCCCGGTGATGCACAATCTCTCCTTTGAAGAGATGTAGTTCAACCAGTAACACTGAAAGAAGAAATCTAACTTCCTAAAGAGTCTGTACCATTTTGGTAAATATCTGTGAGGCAGATTTCTTACCAATTCAGAAAAATACAGTCTGATTGAGACTGAGGAAGAGAAGTAAAAGCACCATAGACAATTGTAGGAAGATTCATAGTAAAGAGTTTAAAGAAGCAACAAAGAGATATTATACTTGAATTGAAATACAGTGTTTTCTTTTACAGATTTAATCTACAGATTTGTCATTGACGATCTAAAAAGTTAATGGTTGAAAACATGACTTGTAAGCATGTTGTGTCCCCAAAGCAACAGACCACACTTCACAAGAAAACCTTACATGATAAAGTATAATTATTTCATCCTTACACAAGTGCAGAACCAGCTCTTTCAGTTTGCTACACATTCAGATGGTTAGAAACGTGGGTAAGGAAGTAATGGATAGGAATAAAAGGCACATGATCATTGATAAGGTGAAATTTACATCTTATTTCAATTTTACATCGCCACAAAAGTCGGCATTTGACAAAATCTAAATGGGTTTAGAATATTGACTATGTCACCGGGTTTGACTCTAAAGAGAGTATGCCACTCAGGTTGTATATATCTATGAAAACATGTGGCTCTACCAGTTCAACATCATCTCTGGAATGCTGACATATACATTTATGTAGCCTGCTGTTAATTTATCGTAACTGAAAATCTGTCAATTACTTTTTATCAGTGTTTTGATCTAGCAACTGGCCACCAACAGACTAAGAGCCCAAAACTACAACTAATACCAAAGTAAAAGGAAATAATTTAAAAGCAAAGGGTTTATTGTCATTAACCATTCTGTATCAAGAAGGTGATACTTTGTCTGAACTTAAAAATACTAAATGAGTAAAAAACTCATTGTGGAGCCTTGTCAAGATAACTTCTCTAAGCCACAGAACAAAACATACATTGCCTTTTTTATTTTCCCATAACATTTCCAGTCAGATCGAACGTATATTTGCTTCAATGAACAAAGTACGTTACCTAAGGTCTTTGTTTTCAGAAGCTGTATTGTTAACAGAGAAAAAGATAAAGGACTTCATCTCTGATCTACCATCTTTATTTTCTAATCAATAAAAGGCATCAGAAACCACTTTCTAATGGACTTAAAGTACAGTACTTAGTAAATAGAGCAACACATTCTAAAAAGAGCTCTTGAGTAAAACAAAAGCACTTGTTGATACTGCCTATAGCATCTCAGCGGCCCACTGCACGGGCAGATGTCCTCACAAGATAGCAATATATCAAGAGGTGAGTTAAAAATGTTGAAATATTCACAGAACCAACTAAATAGCGTATAACTAGGCCAACTCAAAAGCCCCGAGGAAAAGTTTAATCAAATGTTACGTGTAAAAGGTTATAGTTCTAACAACATTACCAGATGTATGAGGGTTTCCTGTAGCAGCCACACGTGCCATCGCTGTACATAAATGAACCAAATAATGGTATAGGCCAGACTTCTAGATGTTTTAGAGTCATGTAACTTTACATGGGGACAGCACTCCGTCGAGGGGAGCAATTTGCGCAAAGTCGCTTCCGCTCTATCAGATCATGTGACTGATACCATGTGACTCTGCTTTGGCGAGCTTCTGGATATTTGAAGCATAGACTTATGGGCATAGACGCCGCGTTGAGCCTGTTAGTAGGTTGCCGCGGTACGTCAGCGCGTCCGCCATTTTTGATGTCGCAGAACTGCCCGTAAAAGTAATAAAAGCAAACAGACTGAGCTCCATAAAGCTCTTTTCTACAAAGTGCTTTAAGTTAATGCCCCTTATTCACACACACACACACACACACACACACTAATATATATGGGAAGCCAATAGGCACTACAAAGAACGTATGTAACTTTTAAAGTGATGATTATAAATGTTTACTCCTGATGTTAAGGATGTAAGGAAGCACCCAACCCAGCGTCTGTACTTTTAATGCTGGACTCAGTGCAACATGAGACAAACACTGTACAATGAATTGAGCATGAAAAGGAGTTTGGAAAACTACAAGGAAAAATAAATTATTTACGTGTCACTGTAGCCTTGATTAAAGGGATATTGAAAAGTCATTTGAACTGCTCCTCTAGCTGTTCCTATGGATAAGAAAACAAGGACGTTTTATCATGCCGATGTCAATTAGGGTTAATCTCAAGTTAGTCCAAGACTTATTAATTCAAAATGTTTACAAGCTTCAGTTATTTTTTATGTAGTGATTTTACTTGGTTATCTTAAAATATGGGTACAGAATTTGTTTTGAAAAACTACGTATATATTTAAGCTATATTTAAGTTTAGTCATGACATCAATTTAGATCAGTTAGTCAGTTTACCAACCGATGGTGCACCTTAATTGCAGTTTGTATTGCTTTTAGCCTACCACTTTTAACACTTTTAAAAATCCATATTTTTTCTGAGTTAGTTTTATAGATTACTCCTGTATGTCTAAACTGATGAGACAAATCTGTCAATTTTTCTTCATATTTGTTCCCTATCCTGAGTATGACTTAAGCCAAAGATGGCTAATTTGAGAAAAAGCTAGAAAAGGTGTCATTCCACCAGTATTTCAATTTTGTCCAGACAAATTGGTTTGTCGTGGTATCAGACAAAATATATAAAAGAGACCAACCAGAACTCTTGAGACAGTAACTGTGAGAGGTGTGCTATTAGCACATTAGGCTAATAGCACATCAATCAGCAAAGTTGCAGGCCTTTGCAAAGCTTAAAATGTGTTGAGGATTTCCAGTTTAATTAGAATCAGGTTTGCAGATGCAGGAAAACATCTAAAACCTGCAGGACAGCAGCCCTCGAGGACTGGAGTTTCACACCACTGATCCTGAGGATCCAGATCCTCCACAGGCTAAAACTGAACAGCTAGATTCTTGTAAAATGTGTCATGACTTCAAAAGAAATGTTATTTTGACTGCTTACCTGATTACTTCTACAAATGAGAAATATGGAGCCAGTGTTCTGTCAGGTCAGCATGCTCCGTCAGACCAGCATACCCATAGTCAATATGCATGTGCATGACGTCAGATTTGCTGGCCATACTCCCATGTGAACCTTCACACAGGCAAGAGCTGCGCTCTTGAAAAATGCTGAGCAAACAGTTGAGCAATCCACAGATTAATCCACCCAAGGGCCCTATCTTAATACAGTGTGCAGTCTGTTTAGACAAATATTTTGTTTATGATGGCATGTGATTGAATAGGTTAATGTGGCAAGTGTAAAATAGCTTTGAGTGTTCAGTGAGACTAGAAAACTGCTTAATAAGCGCAGTCTGTTTACTATGAGCAAAAATTGTGCATAACCAATTTCCTGTGATCTTACTCTTTCAATTCCTACTTTCTTACATCTATTGTTTTTATTTAGTCTTAATTTTAAGCTACTTTGTTTCAAATTGGAAAAAAGGATGTTTGCTTAGTATTGACTGGTAATATTAATGTTCAAGACTCAGTAGAATCCCCTTTCCTTTTGGCTTGGGAAGTGGATTAGAGACATCAACCCACTCAAATTCAGTGGGGGAGTCAAATTGTAAAACCTCACATGACCTTCAGTTTCAACTGGTAGCAAAATGAACATCACCTTCTAGCCTGAATGGCCCTGAGCCAACATGGTCTCAGATTGTTGGCTACTAACAATCTGGCACTTTTCCACTAGTGCTGACTTACTGCGGCACGGCTCTACACGGTATTTTTGCAACTCCTCTATGCGGTGGCCCAACTAAACAGTTCCAACTTCAGCACCTACTCATTTGGAAGTTCCATCAGGGCTAATAGGGCCAACAGCAGACTGCTGATGTGCTATTGACTTACACTATTAGACTGCAATTCCATCAGTTAAACCCATCTTATTTTAAAAACGGGACAACGACCAACATCCAATTTAATTATTTCTGTGAACGTCAACATTGTAAATGCCTAATACCTGAACCAACACAGGTAAAGTTGGTTTACAGTTGTTGCAATGTCCTTGTGTCATACAGAAATTAAATCACACTGGTCAGCCTGCTTTTCTGCTCGGCCATACTGTAATTTGTAATAGAAAACAACCTAAACCGTGTAGAGCTGTACCAGGCCTAATCATATAGAGTTGGGTATGCACTAACGGAAAAACGCCATATCAGATGTTTTATATCAGACAGGGTTTGCCATTACACTTGTCCCTGCGACCCTAATAGAAATAAGCAGTATGGACAATGCCTGAAATTTTACAGACTACTATACCTAACTGCATCATGAATAGAAATATTCTTTGCTTTCCCTAGAAAGTAATTCATTCTTCTCATCATTCCATTACAGGATTTATGAATATCTCACTATGAACAACTGATACTAATATAATGGAAAATTCACATTATAATAAATTAAAACATTTTCAGATAGAAAGCCCTCTTGATTACATAGAAAAGCATTCTGATTCTGTGTTTATGTATCTTGTTTACCATGTACAAACAAACTGAATCAGATCCAGTCTAGTTTCCCATAATAGATCAGACTTTTAAAAAGTTTGCATTTTGTCATTTGTTGATGTGATCAACTGTAAAAAGAAATGGAAAAAATAAACTTAAGGCTGCTTTGTATTTCATGCGAGGCAAACTTTACCTTACGTGTGACACAATTTGTAGGACTGGCGGCCTAATCAATATTTAGATCCATCAGTGTACAAAGAGTACTCTTTCTTGTTGCAACAGAGCATTGCAGTTGTGCAGTTATACGCAAAAGGGCCCCTTCAGTTGAGGACAGCACAACTCTAGTTTTTGGACATTTTGGGAGAGCTGACATTTGGGGATTTTCTTCAAGTAATTCTTCAAACATCATTGGCTGTACTTACTGAATATGCCTTCATATGGATTGAGATTTTTTGTTCCTCTAATCTTCTGCCTCTTTACTGTGTACAGCAGACCTACAGGTACTTTCAAATATTTAAATTATAGGACATTTTCTGCACTACATTTTTCATTAGGCTATGTTGTTTCTTTTAGAACTGCTGTTGAGTAATCAGACTAACTACTTGCTACTAACTACTGCTCTGAAAACCTAAAGATAAATAGTCTCTCTGATAGTATTCAGTACGGTAATAATACTCTAGTACTCCTAATTTGATGTACCTACATCAGTTCATGTTTAAACCTCTACAAGTTTCATATAAATATTCCTGTCTATTTGCATTGTTATCAGGTGGCTACATTCGTAACATGAAAAGCTTCATTCAAGCTGTGAAAATGGTTGAAGATTCCAACCCTGATCTGTCCCCTTTGGCCCTGCTCAGAGCACTGCGAAGGACTGCTGGCCATGATGATGTGATGACTATACATTTCTTGGGTGCATCATATAATCTTAGTGGCAGTGAAGCTCCAGAGGGCGCCATTATAAATGCAACATACTTCAGCTATTTTGATAAAGCCACATATCACATTGTGACAGACCATGGAGAGGAACGAGGAGTAGTTCTTGTTCCAGACGGCACCACTGTAGCACTTGCACCCTTGTTGTTAGGAATTGAATCTGGATTAAAAGCCAAGATGGAAGGGACTCAAGCTGATGGAATCTTCCCTCTTACCCTTGGGAGACCATTGGGCCTGTCATTTCTCAGCCTACAGGACTTACCACCTTCTTTTCGTCTAGGTCCTAATGGATGTTGGGACAGCATGCAGCACCCCAAGATTTTCAAGCTGTCCCAACCAGCAACTATGGCGACAGATGCCATTATCAATGGGGCAATGGACGGAGTGATACTGGGCCTGCACCTCAGCCATTTACCTGCATCTAAACAGCTAAAAACCCTCAGTGACATTTTGAAAGGATACTATGTTTTCACTTTACATGAAGGACAGGGTCTTGATGCAGTGACCAGTCATGTTAGCCCCAAGAGAAGGGATATCTCAAGAAATCTTCTCCAGTCACTTGATCTTCAAACTCAAGTGATGGAGACTCTAGCGCTGGTTTGGAAATTGGAGAAAACCGAATGGATTGCTCTGGACTCAGGCCTGGAAAAAGTGGTGAATGATGGATTGCTGGCATTTGGTCACAAGTACTGGGGTGAGCAATAATGATAATAATGTTAAGTAAAGCTGCATGCACTGTACCACTTTCTGTTTGCTGATTATATACTTTTAGAAATTAAATATCAACAGTAAAAATGTTAAATAGAGTTAGAGTGTGAATAACAATAACAACAAACAATTGTGATCAAGGCCTTTTCTTTCCTTTTTTCTGAATAGACACATACCAGTAAAGATCACCAAAAATTAAAGAAATATTTGAATTAATTAAGGGAAATAAACTTAAACCAAAAGCTAACATTAGCAATGTTAATTGTAAATAGCTTAAGAAAATGCCACTACAAATGCTCAATAAATTATTTTTTGAAAATTGCAATACGTTACCTCACATATATGATGTTTGGTATGATAAAACAACAGCCATTTAAATTTACAGTCCTAAACCTTTTTTCTTTCCATTTATACACAGACTGCCCTCAGATCATCCCTCGCTGTCAGTGGGGGGCAAAGGCTTACAAGGGTACACCAGTCCCACTGTCACTTCCCCTTCAGTTTCTCTATGTTCACCACACCTATGAACCTTCGTTGCCCTGTTTATCCTTTGCAAAATGTTCTAGTGACATGAGGGCCATGCAACGTTTCCACCAGGATGACCGCGGTTGGAGTGACATAGGATATAGGTAACAAAGGCTTGGAACAAATAGTTTGAATTGTTCTTTGGAACTATGCTTTGAATTTTGTTTACTACTACTACTACTTTTATGACAAACTGAAGGCAAAAATGGTAGGAGAATGCGTAATGCCACGTGAATACTCTATGTATTTTATTTGTATTCAATATTAACAACACAGTCTATTGCTTAATGATGGATTTTTTTAATGATTTTATATTTTATCTTTAAATCCCTAAGTGTTGTGTCATGTGTTGTGGTATCATTTCACCTTTAGCTTTGTGGTTGGCTCCGATGGATACATTTATGAAGGAAGGGGTTGGAACCAACTTGGCACACACACCAGGAGACACAATGATGTTGGCTATGGCGTGTCAGTTATTGGCAACTACACTACCTCCCTGCCTTATCGCTATGCCATGGACCTGCTGCGTATTCAACTAGTACGATGTGCTGTGAATAGAGGGGGACTGGCCGAAAACTTTACCATTCAATGGCACAGACAGGTGGTGAACTACACCACTTGTCCTGGAGATGCCTTTTTTTCTGAAATAAAAACCTGGTAACATTTCAAGGAATGATAGAAGACAGACTACCAGTTTAGGTTGTTTAACATGTCAGGGTGTTGTCAAGTTTTGAATTTGCGTGACAAGTATGAGTATGAGTATGTGCAAGTTATGATGTTCAATTCATTAAAGCATAATAGTTAATTAATAAAAACCAGTCAAACAAAATCAACTCTGCATGGTGTATTTTGTTCACCTTAGTCATTGGTTTTAAAAATTAATACAATTTCTGAAATACAAGATAACGTCTACTATGTATTTAATCATTTTCACGCCAGGGGTTTTGTTTTTATCTTGTTATGACTTGGTTTTCTCATTTCCTGTTTTATTTTTAAAAACTAATTCTCCTCTTGTTTTTGGTCACTAGCCTTTCCTCTTGTGCCAACAGTTTGTCTTCCATAATTCTTGATTGTGTCCACCTCATTTTCCCTCATGAATACTTACAGTCTGCATCGCCCCTTGTCTTGTACCGACCCTTCACTAACAATCTCTCTCAAGATAATTCCGTCATACCTGGATGATCTGTGTGATAGTGGTGTTCAAATTCAGATATTTTGCCAGTGGACAATACCTGTATTCTGTCAGTGGTGCAGGCAAAATACATGGCAAGAATACTGTGTTGGATGATCCGCAAGGCACTTGTGATCACAAGTTACTTTTAAAGGGAGTGGTTAAGTGGAAACCTGTAGTTAACCAAGAACAGGATATGTTTGGACCAGGTTTGAGATGTGGACTAAACTGCATGGCAGCATACCTTGATCAAAACATATCCACTTTTTGCAGTATTGGTTTGTCCGGGAGTTTCTTCTTACATAATCAAGTTACTCTCGAAGTTACACTGATGAGCCATTAAACCTGCCGCATACTATGGAAAATAGTATGTCCCATAGTAAGTGGAACGTACTATGTTCCATACTATGGAACTATGGAACTACTATGGAGCGTACTATGGAACATGGTATGTTCCATAGTATTGGTTCCATGTTTGGGTTCCAAGCATGGAACCCAAAGATAAACCAGATGTTTTTGTGATGAATTATCAAAGCATGATCTTTAGAAGGTGTTTTATAAAGTAAGCAACATTTTCCTGAAAGACTCAGATATCTTATTAACCAGCTCTAACCAGAATGTGTTCTATAGCCTTAATTTTATTAGTACAGGTGATCTACCTTGATCACCGGGACCTGGGGCCTGTACTACAGAGTGGGGTTAACTTATTCAGATGTAACCCAGGGTTATCCCTCAAAACCAGGTTTGACAAAACCGGGCATCAATAGTGGAGTTACTCAGTACTACAAAGCTGATAATGAGGTCAATTTTTTTAACTTGCATTAACTTAACTGGAGTATGTGCACATTCATATAAAACGCTGTTCTCAATGATGGTTCAATTGCCCTATTTCACTGAAGAGAACTACAATAACTTATTGCATCGTTACCAAGAAATGCATACAATTCTTCCAATTGTATGCATCCAACACATCCAACACATCCACTGCCAATAAAGCAAAGATGACTTGTTGGCAATGAATTGCTGGTCATGGTAATTTGTAAGTAAGGTGTTTCTTTTCCTACTTTCAATTTTTGTTTCATTTTTAATATGTGCATCAAATCTGCGTTGATTATCACCCTGTGGAATGTATGAAACTGGGGGGGTAAGAAAACTCCCAACTTTGAATTAATAATGCCTACATGTAACTTAAGTAATTCCTAAATGGGCTACATTGACTGTATGAGTGTTCGACCCTATTCCAAATCCTGTGAATATTTCTAATGCAGTAGCAGTGCCAAATGCACCTGGCAGCAGCTGAGGATTAAAGACAGGAACATCCCTCAGAGTGGTAGGTTTACAGTCAATCTCCATCTTGTGTTACCTTAAAATTAAGATTCCTTCTTTTGTGTTTGGTGAAACATCAACATACCTTTGTCCGTAAAAAAATTTATGAAATAAAGATAAGATGATGACTAACAAGTCTTACAGTGAAATAATTACTGCATGAGAGGTCACTATTGCATATGCATACACTGCTTGTATTGGATTGCATATTATATACCGTAAATTCCGGACTACAAAGCGCACTGGATTACGAGCCGCACGCTCTAATTTTAGAAAGAAAATCCATTTTGTACTTTTACAAGCCGCACCGGATTTTAAGCCGCAGGTTTCTCACGTTGTATGAGATATTTACAAATAAAGATGTTACAGGTGAGCATTTTTTAACGTTTGATTTAATCCGTATGATAAAACAAACAAATACGGTACATATTATGTGTCATGGCCTCACTAAGAGTCAGTTATCCAAGCAGCTAAACAGGTACTCAGCAACTCCACAGAAGCAGATTCTTTTTTGTGAATTTACTGAATATCTTGTGAAACTGAAATACAAACATACAAAACATACGTCAAGAATTGTACATGTATAGACATGAATTACGATTAGCTAAGCTCCGTCACGTGTTTGTTAACATTGTTAACATCAACATATGAATTACCGTAAAAGTTACTAGAAATATGTCCAATTGCAAAAACAAATACTTACAGACGTTGCTTGAACAAACATTGAAACTAACTGTCACAAATTAGGAGTAGAAGACGAAGGCAGCAGTCTTTGCTACCGGCAAACTCAAGCTGACTCCCGTTGCTAGGATACCGTAAACTTCCTGTCTAGCGGGTTGTCAAAATAAAGGTATCCATGTTGAGGGTGAGTACAATCGACTGATTTCCAAAACTGTAAATAACTGTGAAAGTGAGAATTATGTATCGCACAATTTCCTTGGACCTCTGTGAATACTCATCAATTTTATTGGTCTGTTTTTCGCGCCATGAAAAAAAACATGTATTAGCCGCACTGTATTATAGGCCGCAGCGTTCAAACTGCGGGAAAAAAGTAGCGGCTTATAGTCCGGAATTTGGGGTATATCGAGTGTCATGTTTTGTGCAAAATTCAGGAGGTTAATGTGATGCTCCTCAAGTCATCCCAGGATGTCCAGTGATCCTCAGGCACAGGTACTTGTAATAAGTATTATGCTGAATTAGGTATGAAAAATGCACAGTCATCTTCACCATTGCACTTGTTATTTCAGTGGGTTGTGAGTGAGAATGAGGATGGGGGTAAGGACACCCTACCTGCCGGGTCTAACATGCAGATCCAGGTGAATGCATTTCATATCTCCTATACTTTAAAATGCATAATTTAGAAAGATGGCATAATATACACCAGTGTTAGTTCTGTGAATTGTCAGTCTAGTATTTTTGAGGAAGAGCTCCAGAAGCCTCATTCTCCTACTGTGGCAACCACCTCTCGGACGGCACAGTCTGAGAGCTGTGCGCTGTCTTTTATTCCCCATGCTCAAATGTAATGCCCACTTACCTGTTAGTGACCTAACTGTTACAGTATATAGGCTGGAACGGACAATATACACACACTGTACAAGTGAATGCTAGAGCTGGATTGTGGGGGGAAAAAGAGGGATAAAACATAGATAAAACATCTTGCAGAACAATTATAGTGTGTGGGTTCTTTTCACTTTAGGGAATTTCTTCAACTAAGGGCGTTTTTAGCCTTGTGAAGTTGAATAATAAAAAAAAGAGCTTCAAAATTCATCTAAAACATTTTAATAAGTTTAAGTGCGTGAAGCTTAAAGATCTGTAAGAGTTCAAACTTGGACAACAAAACAAATTGTTCACTTTCAAATTTTTCGGACTGGCAATTAACAAATGCCATTTTTACCACACTGCAATGCGCAACTGTAATTTTTAAAACAGAATAACTTACACTACTGTAGAGTTGTCTTGGCTAATTTATTTTTTAATTTGTTCACAATATAAAGCAAACATGCATTTGTGAATGAGGAAAATCAATGCCAAGGATCAAGTACTGAATTGTACACCCTTCACAGTCTGAAATGTAATACCAGTTTGGGCAGGGCATTGTTTAGTAAAGCATTTAGTAAAGTTAGATCTCAGCTTAAAATAGTCTTAACGTGGAGTTAGAACTTTTTTTACATTATTATGAAAACTTGGATAAAGAAACAAATTGTTCACTTTTAAAATATCTTAAAATGCAATTTTTACCACACTGCAGCTCTAATTTTTAAAGCAGAACAACCTACAGGACTGTAAAGTATACGCAATACTATCAACAAATCATGTATTTGTGAATGAGGAAATTAATCCTAAGAACCAAATACTGAATTGTACACCTTTCATAATCTAAAGTTTAATGCTAGTTTTGGCAGGACCTTGTTAAACATAACTTTTTTTTTTACATTGTTAGATCTCAAATTGTGAACATAGTTTTAAGGTGGGGTTAGAACTTTTAAAATATTTTTTGGTAAATAGGTGTGACTATGTTGTTTGTATGTCAGTAGACATTTGTTGTTGTAACTGTTTTGTTTAAAATTGCTGCTAAATATCATATAATCAACAAATGGTTAAGTTTTTTGTGTTTCCTGAATAATCTGATCAAATTAATTATGATACAAGTAGTTTTATCATTAAATTAATTATTTTATGGGTATTAAGAGGGTATTGTGGGGGAAAAGATGCCAATGCTGTATGCTGATTATATCTTGTATAAGTAACATTGATAACAGACTCACATCAGATAAAATCACAAATCAGGGAAAAGAACAAATTAATCTAACAGGTTGCGTAGAGTAAGTGCCTTGCGGACCATCAAGCACAGTATTCTTGCTAAGATGTTCAGCATCCCCATGGAATACAAATATTGTCCACTGGCAAAATATCGGAGTGCAAGGCACATTATCTGCTCCATCATCAGGGCAGAATATGTGTAATATTGCCAATTTATGGCCCGATCAGCTGACATAGATCGCAAATTCCCTCCGCAAAGAATCTATATCTTTCATGCAGACTATGGTCTGGGTAGGTCAGCAGATTCTGGCGGTCCCTAAAGACCCTCGCTCTGCGCAGAGAGCCCCTCACAATTTGTGCGCCAGTATCACACAGATCATCCAGCTCTGACCGCCTTGTCTTGGAGGAGATTGTTGGTGGAGGGGCGGTATTTATAAAGTGAGTGGTTAAGTGAAAACCTGCAGTTAACCAAGTACAGAACCTGCTCGAACCAGGTTTGAGAGGTGGAGTAAATTGCCATAGCAGCAATATGATCAAAATCTATCCAACTTTTGTAGTCTG